TTTTTTTTTTTTTTTTTTTCTCTGTGAGAAACCTCCCTCCTTACTCAGTCCTCCCATTCATTCTGATTAGGCAATCCTCTGTAATCATGCTGGTTGGGGAAAGAATGCATTGGATCGAGGGGGGGCTGTCTGGCAGGGCCTATGTATGGTTTTCGTCCGAACAGAAGGCACGGTCATTATCATTGTATTTAGATTGAATCTTGCCTCAGATGCAGCTATAATGACCTTGCGTTCTGGTCGGGTGAAGACGTCAGCCGAAATAAGCCAATGGGAGCGGACATACCTCATTTTCTCTGCCCTCCCACCTCCTCACACAACCCCAATACACAGGTGTGTAATCTGCGACACGAGGGGAACATAAGAAGAAGCACTGTCACACCTCACAGCTTCATAAAGAAGCTGCTGATTAAGCTCTTTCTCCTCTTTTTCCTCTTTTTTTTTTTCTTTTTTCTTTTCTTTTCTTTTTTTAAGCAACTGTTTAACCTCTATTTTTTTTAAAGGTTCTTTTCCTCTTCCCTCCTCATGTTCGAAAGAGCCTCAGGGGTGTCACTCACAGGATTAATGGGCAGACGACAGCAAGTGAAGAACTTGTTCCTCCTTTTCAATTCTCTCTTCGGTTCTTCGTTGTGTGCTGAGTCTATCTTTTCTTTTTATAAATTAACGTTGATTGTGCCTTTTCAAATAGAATAGGCTGTATGAAACCAGTCTGGGCAGCCGGGGATCGATCCCCTCAGGAAGAAGGGGTTATAGCCAACGAAACGAGTCAAAGGAACGCAAGCTCGATCTGGCAAATGCATGATTTGTGTGGCAACCCTCACCCGCTCTTCCCTTTTTTTTGGTCTCCCAGAGAACCGCTGACCTTTTTCTGTGTTATTTATGGTTTCGTCGTCGTCTGCACCCGCTCTTCCCTTTTTGTTTTTCTCCCAGAGGACCGCTGACCTTTTTCTGTGTTCTTTATGGTTTCCTCTTTTGGTCTGCGCCCGCTCTTCCCTTTTTTTGGGTCTCCCAGAGAACTGCTGACCTTTTTCGGTGTTATTTATGGTTTCCTCGTCGTCTGCACCCACTCTTCCCTCTTTTCGCCTCCCAGAGAACCGCTGATTTTTTTCTGTGTTCTTTACAGTTTTCCTCTTTTGGTCTGCACCCACTCTTTCCTCTTTTCGCCTCCCAGAGAACCGCTGATATTTTTCTGTGTTCTTTATGGTTTCCTCTTGGTCTGCACCCCCTCTTCCCCCTTTTCGCCTCCCGGAGAACCGCTGACCTTTTTCTGTGTTCTTTATGGTTTCCTCTTGGTCTGCAGATCTGCCGTGCAGAAGAAGGCTTTCCCAACGGCCGACGTAAGGAAATCACAGAATCGCAGACTGATAGTTGTGGCTTGAGACATGTAACTGGCCAATCAAGCCAACGCGATGCACTCATAGCCAGCTGAGACGATGGAAGACATTAGGCGTAGAACATTGGATTCAGGAAATTTTCTGCAATTCTTTTGAGGCTCTCAGACACGCGAATTTTCTTTCTACGCTGCTTTTGTGGCGCTTAGATGCGCAGACCGCGCCATTTTCGTTTGGGCTTTGTACAAGTAGGATGTGCAGCAGCGGTCATGATGACGACATTGTTGAGGGAGCAGCGAGCGAAGGAAGAAGGAGAGCGGGACGGCCAAGAGAAGGAGAGCGGGAGACGGGGATTGGAGATGGTTGTTGTTTGATGTGAATTTGCATGTTGCAAGTACAACTAGGATGTGCAGCAGTGACCATGATGAAGACATTGTAAAGGGAGCAGCGAGCGAAGGAAGAAGGAGAGGAGTCGTTGGGGATTGGAGAGATGGTTGTTGTATGGTGTGAATTTGCAACTAGGATGTGCAGCAGTGGCCATGATGACGACATTGTTAAGGGAGCGGCGAGCGAAGGAAGAGGGACAGCAGGAAGGCCAAGAGGAGGAGAGCGGGAAACGAGAATTGGAGATGGTTGTTGATTGATGTGAATGTTTTGCATGTTGCTGCTTGTCCGATCGCTTGGCGGTATACCCACCAGCAGCGGCCATTGCGAAGGAAGAAGGACAGCAGGAAG